ACTGTTTAGGTGAACAATGTCTTGGACCATTTGCTAAATTCCTAGAGGAATGTGGAATCGTCTCACAATACACCATGCTAGGATCACCTAGCATGAATGGTGTAGCTAAAATACAAAACAAGACTCTTAAGGACATAATAAGGAGTATGATTAGTCACTCCACCTTGTCGAAATCACTCTTGGGGAGAGACATTAAAGACCGTAGCTTATATTATTAATAGAGTATGAATTAAGGCTGCTGCCAAAACACCTTATGAACTTTGGACAAGCAGAAAGTCTAGTCTAAAGCATTTTCACATTTTGGGGATGTCCAACTGAGGCTAGGCCTAACAGGCCACATGCAAAAAATTGTACTCCAAAACAATAAACAACTATTTCATTGGTTATTCTGAGTGATCTAGAGGCTATAAATTTTATGATCCCACACTTAAGTCAATTTTTGAAACGAAAACTACAACATTTTTTAAGGATTTTGAGCTTGGGGGTAGAAATAAGGTTAGAGACATTGTCTTTGAGGAAGAAGTTGAGGAAGGATCGATTTCGATTCTTACTATTGCTTTTGAAATGTACAGGTTTTTATATCTCTCATGAAGTATATCCAGAACCTCTACACGACAATGTTGAGAAACTTTCCATCCAAAATGAGGTAATTATTCCAGAAGTACAAACTCAAGAACTTCAAGAACAAATACCATTAATGAGATCCACATGAGAAAGGAAAAGTGTTATTTCGGATGATTTTATAATATTTCTCCAAGAACGTGAGGAAAATAATGGAATGGTAGAAGATGATCCTTTCAGTTTCCATGAGGCCATGTAGGGTTCTAACTCTCAAAAGTGAATTAATGTCATGAATGAGGAATATAAATCTATGCAAGCAATAAAGTTTGGGATCTTGTCTCGTTACCTGAGGTGTGAAGCTCATTGGTTGCAAATGAATTTTTAAAATCAAGAGAGATTCAAAACGTAATGTGGAAAGATATAAGGCTCATCTTATGGCCAAAGGCATTATCCAAAAGGAAGGCATCGACTTCAAAGAGAATTTTTTCTCCAGTTTTAACGAAAGACTCTTTTAGGACAATTATAACACTTGTTGCGCACTTTGACCTTGAGTTACATCAGATGGATGTTAAGACGGTATTTTTCAATAGTGATATTGATGAGACAATCTATATGATACAACAAGAAAACTTTGTATCAGAAGACTCGAAGAATATATTTTGCAAATTAAAGAAATCCATTTATGGGCTCAAGCAAGCTTCACGTCAATGGTGCCACAAATTTCATCAAATAATTATCTCATTTGATTTTGTGATGAATGTTGTTGATGATTGTGTATGCCATAAGTTCAGTATGAGTAAGCATATTTTCCTGGTTTTGTATGTTGATGACATACTATTTGCCACTGACGATATAGACATATTTCATAAAACTAAGAAATTTTTATCAAGGAGATGAAAGATCTTGGTGATGCCTCTTTTGTATTAGGAATTCAGATACATCGGGATCACTCTCGAAATACTCTTGGATTGTTACAAGAGAGTTATATCGATAAAGTACTTAACAGGTTTGGCATGTAAGACTGTAAACCAACTGAGACTCCTAATGCTAAGGGAAACAAATTTAGTTTCAAGCAGTGCCCGCAAAATGACCTTAAAACTAAGGAAATGCAAACGATTCCCTATGCATCAGCGGTTAAGAGTCTAATGTATGCTCAAATTTGTACACGTCCAAACATAGCATACATTCTTAGAATGCTAGGTTGATATATAAGCAAACTTCGGATGGATCATTAGAAGGTAGCCAAAAGTATTATGAGGTATTTAAAAATAACAAAGGATTACATGCTTACATATAGCATATCGGCTCAATTAGAGATCATAGGGTACTTCGGTTCTGATTTTGCTGGATGCCAAGACAATAGGAGATCCACATTAGTCTATATCTATCTGCTAGTTGGAGGAGCTATTTCCTTAAAGAATGCCAAGCAGACACTCATAGTTTCTTCTACCATGGCAACAGAGTTTGTAGCATGCTATGAAACATCTAATCATGGAATATAGTTACGAAATTTTGTTATTGGGCTGTGCATTCTGAATGACATAAAAAGATCGCAAAATTTGTATTGTGACAATAACTCAACAGTTCTGTATTCCAACAACAATAGGAGCTCATCTAAGTTAAAACACATTAAAATTAAGTTCTTGGTTGTGAAGGAAAGAGTACAGAATTGATAGATTTTCATAGAGCACATTGGACAAACTCCATGAATGTATAAGCACACTGCTCGTATGGGTGTTGTATTTCTTGAGGATACCATATTTTAGTGAGAGTTTGTATTCTCATTGCATTATGTTTAGTTCTTTGGGCATATTTGTGTATTTAGATATTTTTCTGTACATAAATAAAGTATTCAGTTCATTACACTCTGTTATTATGTTCAGTATTGATCTCACTTAAGAAATAAGATTGTACCAGTTAGAAATAGACATGTTTGGATCACATAACATGTAATTTCCATGCTACACTCTCATTATTGATCTATGTTATTTTCTTGTATGCGTGTACGTGACCATTGATGAATATGGTCACGCTAATTGTGAATAAAATTGCTTTAATCCTACATCAATATAACTGATGGACTAAATTGTTTGGAAATACCTTGAATAATGATAGTAGAATTTTGAGCTCATAAAGCTAAGCACATTTGTAATATTACATGTATGGCTAGTGGGAGATTGTTGAAAAAATTTCAATGATGGGGCCATACATGTGTATATATTAAAATGTGTTGTGCTATTTTAAGGTTTAGTCAATAAAATGATCTGTTATAGTAAATTTTTAGACTAATGGGTATTAAATGTCATGGGAATAAAGTGTAGAGACCGAAAAGGGTTATTTTAAATTGATGAAAGACCAATTTGAAATAATACAAAGATAATAACTGTTTAATGCAGTTATTTATCATGGGATCATGGTCCCCAATTGTATGTGATTTCACACATCTCTGCGTCCCCATCGACAAAGAAGAATTTTCAAAAGAATTACGTAACAATTGAAAGATCATAACCCTTTCAAAACACTCACATTTATGGATCAAAGTACACTTTCACTTTTAATCTTCTCTTTGATTTCAACATGGAGGATTTATGTATTTTTGTGAAAGGATTTGATAAATTTTTTGTTTCTTTCAATTCCTACTTAGTGAACTGCTTTCTTCATCCTGTAGATGAAGTAGGTTCTTCTTTGTGTGGGTTAAAGGCTTCTTCTTCTCGTGGTGGTGGTAGTTAGGGTTTTCTATAAATGATAGGATATGGGAGGTTTGGCAATTTTGGGTTTCTTGTTAGCTTATTAAATACGAGTATAAGGTTTTAATTTGTTTTATTCTATTAATCAAATTTGTTCCTTTTTTCAGAGCACTGGATCTAATTTACTCTTCTATTACTGGAAACAATATATATTTAAGGTGTTTGAAAGATACAATTTCAAAATTAAGAAAAATAAATAGTATTTATCATTATGATGATGGAACCTCGGTGATGTGGTCGTCTATGTATAATAATGAGATTAATCAGTTCAATTTTTACAAGAGAAAAGGGAAGGAGACGTAGTCTCAAAAAAGAGAGAAATGTAAGGGATAATAAATTGTCACATCACCGATATTTCATCGTCATGATGATAAATAGCATTAAATATATTTTAAAATTTCAAAAATTATTTAATAATTAAATTTTATTAATTAAATAAATAATTAAAACTATTTTTTAATTAAATATATTAAGGTCAAAATATTATATAGTTTTATGATCACAGTTACGTACTATCACAATCACAGACACACGGTCAAAAATTACTGAATTTTTGCTGGATTTAGTCGATTCGTTTTTGTTGGTTTTGGGGGTGGTTGTTGGTGGTGGTTATGCTGGTGGTTTTTGTTGGTTTTGGGGTGGTTGTTGGTGGTGGTGTGCTAGTGGAGCTGGTTTTCTTGAATCTTGTTGGTGGCAATTGTGGCAATGGTTTGTTGGTGGTTGTGGTGGTAGTCACAGATTAATTGGTTGTTGGTTGTTGGTGGTGGTTTGTTGGTTTTGAGGTGGTTGTTGGTGGTGGTGTGGTAGTGGATCTGATTTTCTTGAATCTTGTTGGTGGCGATAGTGGTGGTGGCGGTGATCTTGTTGGTGGTTGGATGACGATTTTGTTAATGGTTGTGGTGGTGGTGGTGATCTTGTTTGGTGGTGGTCGCATATTAATTGGTTGATTGTGATCATTAAATTAATTAATCATAGACCAATAAAAAGATAAATTGTGATCAATAAATAATGTGTGATCTAAAATATTAATATTTTTTTATTGTTGAATAAGTTGTAATCTATAATATTTGTGATCTGTGACCTATATATAAATTGTGACGAATAAATTTTTGATCTGTGATCTATGAAAAAATTATGACCTTCAAAATTTTTGAATTGTGATCGTAAAATAATTTGTAACGTTAAAAGATTTTGATTTGTGACCGAAAAATAATACGTGGCTAATTAAATTGTAAATCTGTTATCAAATTGTATGGATTCGTGATCTTAATACAATTAATTAATAAAATATATAATTAATTAAATTATAAATAAATTTCTATGAATATCTAATTTTTGAATTTGAAGCTTTTATTCTTACTTTTGAATGGGCAATAGTTATCCTCTTACTCATGAAATTTTCCTTTTATTTATTTTCTATTTGGGATCAAGAAAAAAGTTAATTGGGAAGAGTTCAAAAATCATGTTTTTAACTATGCATAATTCAAAATTCAGGTTACAAGTTTCATTAATGCAAAAATCAGGTTTTAACTAATTAATTAAAAATATTTATTAAATAATGATAATAAAATCACATATTTATTTACTGGTCACATATCATTAAATTAATTGTCACGGATTTTTTTGAGCTCACAAATCAAAATTTTGATACGTCACAGATAAAAAAAATTATAGGTTACAAATGGTCACAAATTAAAAAAATTATAAGTCACATGTCACGTATTTTTAAATTTGATAGTCACGGATTACTTTTTTAGTTACAAAATGATAGAATCTTAAAATCAAGGATTAATACAGTCACAGAGGACCAAATAATTGGTCACAGACGCCAAACACCCAATCCCGATCCACCATAATACCTGGTCACAAACACTACCCCGACCACAACACCATCACAATCGCTGTCGCCGCCGCCGCCTCCCGACAAAAACAAACCAACACACACCACCAAAATTGCCACCATGATGGCACCAACCGAACAACATATATAATTGGACACAAATACTACCAGCACCATTGAAACCAAGCACCAACTTACCATCATTGTAGCAACATCGTGCTAGCACCTACACCACCAACAATTCAACCACGCCATTGACACTGTCACCAGCCATTCATCTCCAACACACCACAACCACAATCATCACTGCCAACGTAAGCACCGTCGCTACCATCACCACCACCGTCGTCCTACCTAGATCCACTGCACCACCATCACCACACCATAAATAGGTGATCTATAAAAATCCTACAAAAATGAGAAGTATTTGGAACCAAAAGAAAACATTAATTTGAAAATAACCAATTGCAAGGCACACTCTAAAATTAGAAAATACATTTTATTAAAAAAAAGATACCCATAAATTGATTTGCCACCCCTGCCAGTCCTAGTTGGATCCCCACCTCGCACTATAAAATCCTAAACTCCAATATCACATAAAAATTATCAGTTCAAAATTAGAAATGTTTACATATACAAATATGAATAGCGATTAGCTATACAAACAAAGAGATCTTAATGATTCTGTGGAATTTGACATTATCGTAATAGCCTCTGCGAGCCAACTCTATGAAGTTCTTGCAAGTCTTGGGTGCATGGTCGTAGTACATCTACCATATTTTCATGAATTTTTGTATCATCAATTAGGAAAAAAAAATATAACAGTAGAGCATGAAAAATGTACTAATACAGATGGATTTGTGTGAAGAGAGTAGTCACCTCAACTGTGAAGGAGCCCATGGAGGTCTGGAGAGTGACCTTCGATGGGCCACCGTCTTCACTTACCCACGGATCTCTTCTCTCTCTCTCTCTCTTAGTGCCATTGCTTGAGAATTGAGTGTGCCTCGGAGGAATCAAGAATTTTCGACGGCGATTGTGATGGAGAGATGGGAGAGACTGAGAGAGAAGAAATGGTAAAGAGAGAAATGGTTAGGAAAAAATTGATTAAGGTTTGGAATAATTTGGGGGAATATTTAATAGTCAATTATTATATTGATACCTGATTTATGAATAGTGAAACTTCAACCTTGATCTTTGAATTGTAATCTTTAAACACCTGGAATTATGTAATTTTCCCAAGTTAAATTTGTACAAGTTAAGCCCAAATTTTTAAATTCAAAGAAACATTATTTGTCTGTTATTTAATTATTTAATAATGCATTTCTTCGAGATAATTTTGTTTTCTTTTAAATTCATTATCTTATCTAATTAATTTGAAATTTTAAAAGTGGTTGATATAATATTTTTTATTTTATTTATTTTAAATTCAATATCATTTTTTATTTTTATTTTTACACTAAAATTTTAAAGGATTCAGTTAATGTTTTTGATCATCTTTCTTTTAAATTCATATCTTATCAAATTACTATTAAAGGTCATTAAGATAATGTTTTGATTATTTTAAATTCATTATCCTATGTAATTGCTTAGGAATTTTATTGAAATAATGTCTTTGGTTATTTTCTAAATTCAATATCTTATCTAAATACTTTAGAATTTAAAAGCTGCAATAAATTCTCATGTTTTGTCATAATTAAATATTCCAACACATCTATATGCAAGTTATTTTCATCTCATAAGTTCACATAGGCAATTAAAGACACACGCTCATATACCGATTTTTTTAGTGATTTTATTTTAAAGCTAAACAAATTTTTTCAGCGGCATACATTTTTCTTCAAATTAAATTCAAGTTTCGCTTAAGCTTTAAAGGTGGGATGTCATATGTTCAACTTGGTTGTCTTTTTTAAATATTGTATATATTTTGTCATATATATACATGAACTATGGGTCATTTGAAATGAAATGAGAGATTTTTTTGAGTTTTACGAAAGCTTATATAGAAATGTGTTAGAGTATTAGACTTGATCACCGAATTCTCTAAGTAAAATGGTGGTATAGAATGTTGTAACTTACATTTGACATCAAGATATATTTTTGGACTGTATATATCCTACTAAATTTTAAAATACTCTCTTTAAATTACAAATTTTCATGTTAGATCGATCAAGCTCGAATGGTTTTTGAGAGGTGTAACAGGTTGCCCAGCAAAAATATCAAGGACAAATAGTAAATGAATAATCATTAGAATATTTACATTTTTAATTTCATATAAATTTAGTGAATTTCTTGAATGTATAGTCACATTTAATTTACTTAGTTATATTACATTAAGAATAAATTTAGGTTTGGATTTCATTTGTTATCAGGAATAGCGAAGTTACTGTTCATGGATGATAGTAGCTACTATTCATAAACATTGATTGTCATATTTTTAAATATAAATCCAAAGTATAATTTAATTAACGAATGAAAAGTTATCACAATGAGATGTGACCCTTAGCCCAAGTGTTATATTTGTTTATTTACTAAAATCGTCTTTGAAGGGGAAGGATGGATTGTTAGTGTAGACGATTTACAAGCAAGATATAATTGGAGGACATGTATTCACAGCAAAAAATTAAAAATTAAATAAATGGAAACTTGTATCTTTGAAAGGGTAAACATGAAGTAAAATGACTAGTGCTCATCAATCAACTACCATATGGACCGAAGGTATTACGTAAAATATAATATTTTATGTTTGTTGGAAAATTTTGATACTAACGAGGGAATGCAGAAAAGAAATCAAAGAAAAGAGAAATGCCGAAAATTAATTTGAACACGTGATCATTGTCCTCAATTTAAATTTGCGCTCGTTAAGATTGTTTTTGATGCTTGAAAAGGCTTACGACAAATGGTTTGTAGGATTTAACAAGCTTTTAGAAAGACACTAAGCATTTGTATTTTCTCCTTAAAACTTGAAGAACACTCAAGATGATGAATATGTAAAATGACTTTTGTAAAACTCTCTATTAATGAATGATTTCAATTGTGGTGATGTAATAATTGTATAGAAGAATGAAATCTATCTCATACATATAGATTCACAATCATACACCACGAAAGGACATCAAAGATTCATGAAAAGATACATTTTTCATGACAGGTACCAAAAAAACGAACTAGAAATTTCAAATCCAACAGTCAAAAAATAGGCCTGGGCGATCGTCCAAGCCAAGGTTTTGGTCTCGAGTTATTGAAAGAGACGTTGGAATTCACACAACTTTAAGTCGGGCGAGTGGCCAAGGAAAAATTTTAGTTCCTCCGTTTTTTCTTCTCATTTTATTTTCCATGTTTTCGCACTTACTCTACACACTCATATGGATGTATTATCATTCCAATTTACTCATCATTATAAATTGAACACCAAATTACAACAATGTTTACTTTCGAGCATGAGATATACATTGTTTATGTTTGCTTCATGAGAAAATGTTTTAAAATAAAATGTTATATTAGATTATATATTGTAAGAATGAAACATTTAATTTATTTTGCTTCAGTTTTACAAAACGTTTCAAATGCAATGTTTCTCGTGTGCTTTTAATTGGCTTAATCATTTTCAATTTAGGTATCATATATCATTTTATTCTTATAATAGTTCACGGAAGCATAATAAGTAAAGGATTATTATTAAGAAAGATTAAGCATAATTGGAGTTGGCTTGTACGTGACAAAAATGGTTACGACTAGAAAGACTGCTATAAAGACAACGGCTTGCAGGGCATTCGCCGTGAAGGATAGTTTGTGATTCCTATTTGTCTATGGCAGTAGAAGATAAATGGCCAGTTGTTTTTCGCACAACCGGCCTTTCTATCATTCTTTTCACAGTTAATCTTCAAAATCAAATGTGCCAAATTTCCTGGCATCGTTCTTCTAAGATTTCGAGGTGGGGTTGCAGATAGGTATGATGAGAGAAACTTCGGGTTGGTAAAAGAAATTCGACTATAACAGAAAATTTGGACCAAACGCGTAACAATGAATGTGTAAAAGGAGATAAATCAAAGAAGACAACCACAATTTAACCAGAATACTTCTTAGGTTATCAAGTGCATATTTTATGCATAACGGCTTCTGCCTCCCTACATAGCAATTGATTGTATGGTAAAGAACTAACTAAATCTATAGCCCAGGAGTTGCAAGAAATAAGTTATTGATAAATGAACTAATAGAATGAAAGATCTCCGGTGAGAGAGACCACACAATATCAAAGTGACTAAATATTATGCACCCACATATTTGCTTAGAAAATTCTATTGTTATTGAATTCTTGAGCACCATATAGTGTAGCTATAATACGGCAAATACACTTGTAACACCAAAACATGCTATAATCCCAAGGGACAAGAAAAAGGAAAACTGATACTTAACATGCCTTCAGTCATCGAACTTGATAGGAGGATTGACTTTTTTCATTTCATGGCTCAATGACAAACAGAGGCTGCAAGGAGGAACAAACAGTTATGGACAAAACAAATAGAAGTTGAAGAGGGATAATAGGTATTCAAGGTAATGGTTCACAGGAATATGAATTATATCACAACCCTCCATTATTGCATTCAAGTCCAATTGATGGAGGATGATTCGTACACAAGTGTTAACCATCTCATTAAAAGGGGCTACATATACTTGTTTATATTTTGTTTTCAACCCACCCCTTGACATGGAAACTGCATTTATGTTTTGATAAAAAAATCTAACATGCGCACAATTTCTCAATATTGGGTTGTAACAAAAATTGAGCCAGGTTTCTATTGTGTGGCTCAATTACAAAGTTAACTATCTCATCTAAAAGTTTAAACTATTAGAGAGGGGTTATATATATTTGTTTATGCCCTTGTTTTCTCCCTTTAAAACAAAACTCTTTAATTCTTATACTCATTTCAACCACAAATTCACACAATAAAATATTTTGCATGTAAATCCAAAACTTTTCCCTATCTTTTAACCAAACATTCTCCAAAAAAATCACTATTCAAAACATCATTTTTTACAAAATAATGGCAATCAAACAGGGGCTAAATCTTATGTTCAACAGTAAGCAAAATTGAAGCATCACAAGCAATAAGTACAGTATCTAAAGAGGAGAGGTGGGGGGGTGATGGCAATCAGGAGAGGTAAAAGAAAATAGAGGTACCATGTCCACACTAACAGGTTTCCCATCATCTACAAGTATATCAACTACGGTTCCAGATTGATCAGCCTGAAAAAAAGAAAAGAAAAAAATAAAGCAATCAAAATGTACGATTAAATGTATTGGAATTTAGATATGTGATGTTTGATTCATGCGGTGCTGAAAATGAAATGATGTGCTTCCTATAATTGCCAATAGCTCAAAGATGTAGGTGATATTGCTCTGTTTCCAGGAAAAAAAAAAAATGAAATGCAGTAACAGGTTTTCTTTTGAGAATATGGAATGTTCTGTTTCTAATAAAATAAAAAATTCCCAGTAACGCTCCACATGGTTCCTTTCCTAAAGTCCTCTTCTCCTATTCCCTGTTATTTCCTAGAATATGGAGATAATGAATAACAATCTATAATGGCATGTTCGTTAAGGAGGATTGACTGGGATTAGATAGCATTAAGGAAGAAAAATAAGTAAAAAATTTTTGTTTATTCGGTGCTGTATATTTAAGAGTATAAGGATGAATTGTGAATCATAGTTTTCTTATTTTGCAATCCAATATTTTTCTTACATCTGTTATAAAGTGTTGTCCACAATGTAAATAGGATGTCTAGAACAATACCAGCTCAGACAAAGATCCAGCAGCTTACCTCAATCTCATTCATCAGTTTCATGGCCTCGATAATACATACTACCTGCCCTTTTTGGACCTTATCTCCCACCTAGAAATTGCATTGTATATCAGAATTGATAGCAACAGAATATTGATGTTAAATATATATAACAAAAAAGGGTAGTTATATGTTATCTCAATGATAATGTTGCAGCATACAGATATTGAGAAGTTCATATTTGTTTTCAATTCTAGGCCTTGCGACTAGTGTAGTTAATTGAATCAATTGCTTACAGAATTTAGCATAAAAGTGAAGGGAAGCAAGACATTTCATGCCTCAAAACAAGAAGGTAATCGTGAAGGATTTTATCACTTCATATTTAAATACTTAAATGGCTTATTACTCCGCTTTCATATCTAAATGTCTTCAATCCTAATTTGAATGAACATGTTGATATCCATCTCAATTAATACTATGGGAAATTGTTTCAGACCTAAACTATTATTTGGCATTTTTACCAATTTTCAAATATCTTATTTACCATCTTTTATCGATTTCTGAAGTATTTTAAAACTATATTTTATTTAATCAACCCAGTATTTGAACCAGAAAATCCAGTAGCTGTGTTGGGAAACCCCTATGACCCAGTCCCTATGTTGAGTGTTTGCCTGTGTCAAGTTTAAAAGGAACATGAAAAGCATGGGAATTCAATTGAACAATTTTTCGAAGTATTTTCATGCATAAAAACACATGAAGCGTTGTATGCACTAACCTTCACGAAAGGTGTTGCTCCTGGGGCAGAAGCACGATAAAATGTTCCAGCCATGGGACATTTTACTGGAGGATGTGATGACTTTGGTTTCGCCAGAGCAGGTGGTGCTGGCACTGGATTTGGAGTTGAAGGAATGTGAGAAGCAGGAGCAGGGACATTTGAAGGAGGCAATTGTGGCGAAACCATAGCCTGCTCAGTGGAAGGTTGTGCGTAAAAAACTGGAGCTGCAGCTGATGGCTGTGGCAATGCCTCCTTTTTTCTTATAAGGACTTCACAGTCCATTTGCTTAAGCTGCAACTCCATTATATCTTTTGAATCTACTAGTCTGGCGACATAAAAAGTAAATTACAATTCACTTATGACAATTGAATCAGAAAGTAATCAGACGCTTTATGCAAAGCAATTTACACACTTGACAAGATCCGCCACTTGGGTCATGAATGCTGAAATGGATGGTGCATCTGGAACTGTGTATTGGTTTTCCACTTCTTCGGCCAATTGTGTCTCAAAAGCTGGTGCAGAATTTGATATTTTCTCAACAACAACCTAGTAAAGAAAAAGAATGACGTAGCTAAGGTGAAAGGCGACGTCAAATTAAAAACAACTGAGAACTGAGACAAGGTAGAGGAGAAGAATCAAATCCTGGACCTAATAACAAAGTTCACCTTACCTCATTCAGCTGTGCACACACCCTAACATCAGATTGGCTCCGGCTACATCCCTGTCAAAAAAGGAAGGACCTTTAACCATATTGCAGTAAAATCAACAAGAATCTACTCAAACAATTTTTTCTTTTGGTCTTTCAATGTCAGCCCGCTGAGAAATGGTTTTGAACCATATTTAACTTTGTTAATGATATGTTGCAGAAGTGAGAAAGCAGTTCAAGATTCTTGTATGTCAGCTGTCTAGCTTCTTTTTAAGTAACAACATTAAGATATTTCATGATAAATATATACACCTAAAATTTTCATCATTCTAGTTTTGGCTTCATTTATAAGCAGAAAAATGGGATTAAGAATTTGTTACATGCTAGAGACATTGGCAAGGACACTAAACGGAAGCAGATATGGCACAACAAGGCATTCTGACACATAACTTGTGCAAATATAGGATGCTGAAAGGCAGAGGTTGTGTGAAGAGAATTAATCATGCAAAAGCTCAAGATTTTTCTGTTTCGAGATTGATGTTAGATGCATCAGAAAATACATGAAAACAATGTCATTGCTAATTTTATCTGCTCCAAGTTTTTTATAAAACATTTCTTCAGGGAACAGTCCGTTTTAGTTCATAAGTTAAAAACATAACTATATATATTGTATACAATTGATCAGAATAGAGTAAGTTTTAGTTATGAATCGAAGATAAAGGGGAGGTTACAATTTCAAATCCTCTATTAGTCTTGTCATTTATTCTTACTTCAAGCTTAGGGAAGCCTGTGTGCTTAAGACTTCTCGGATGGGGAATGGATAATGATACAGACCCTCTCATGATTCATAAATAATAATAAACCAACACCCATGCTCTGGTAACCTCTGGGTTTTTTCAGATTTGGCAAGCATCTGGAATACAATTATTAAATTCCTTTCCAGTTTTAGAGTTCTCAACAACAAAACCCCCTCGATTAGAAATTATCATAATTCCAGTGATCTTCCGCATTACCTTAAGAATTATTCAAAAATATTATTCTGGTAAGTGAATTAACATAAAAACAGTCATAGGAAATAAATTGCTTTCTGGAAGAATGCTCTTTAGCTCTCAAGTAGCAAGACAACAGGATATTATTCTATTGAATTGATTCATAAAATATACTATGAAGAAAACATCTATATCCGTGTATAATTAATTCAATGGTGGACAAAAAATAGTCATAAGAAGAATTAAACCTGAGGGAGAAACAAAGGGCCCAGATTCGATCTAGAATCAGATCGAGGAAACGACGCGATACATGGGCGATGCTCCTGACGGTTCTCCAACTCCAATGAAGCGCCCAAGAGAGAGGATATCTTAGGACAAGGAACACTAAAAGAAGCCATTGATGAATGACGATTCCAGTACGATTATTATGCAAATGCTGAAAGGAAATGGACAATTTAGTGCAACTGATGAAATCTGCTAAGAATGTGTCATGTGTGAGAAGCTTTTAGGCTTTTGTAGAGGAAAATGGGCGATAGAATTGAAGAGAAAGCCACAAGGAGGCGATACAAACGAGGGAACTGAAATCGAAGCTCCCTTTGTATTGTACAGTACAACTCACATTCGGCTTTTCCCTCCATAGTCCACCACGTGGTTGTTTAACCAACCAACTTGCCTGCCCATTCGAACAGATCATAAATTTTCTCATTTTGTATTTACTTGTTATAGTTGAAAGTGCTGCGTGCACGTCATTTTATAAATGCTATAAAAATAATATTTGAAAATTTGAAAATATAAAAAATAATTAATATAAATTGTTTAGTTGGAATGAACTTTTGATTCAAATAAATAAAAATCTTTTTGTGAAAAACAATTTAAATAACTGAAAAAAATCAATTGGGACCATTTGCACTTTTGAGCTGAATTAACATCCGACTAATTCCATCATTTCTTCATAAATATGCATTGAATATATTGATTGAAATTATTTATTATAGATACGCATTATGTCCTTTTCATTTATCTTCTCTGTATCTTAGCATTCATTGAATAAATCAATTGAAAGAAAACACTAAAAATATTCATTTTTTGTTTCAAAAAAAAATAATGGATTTAGTTTACTATCCAATCAAATGGAATAAATTCATCAAATATACTTTGATCATAACTAAATAATTAACAAAAACATTTCATGATAATATTGTTCAAATGACTAAATAAATCAAATATATTAAAAATGAAGACCTGATCAATCTATCAAATAATGTTAAATAAATTAAATATATATTGAAAAATGAAAAATAAGATAATGAATGTATCAAATATACATTTATCATAACTAAATAGTTGACAAATAATTAATTATAATATTATTCAAATGGTTCAAATAATTAATAAATTAAATACATGTTGAATAATGAAAAGTAAGATATTGTTGAAATAATTTAATTATGTAAAATATAATCATCCAAAAAATAATTCTCACTTATGCCATGTTTGATCCGCATCATTTGAAAAAAAATACATTTTTAAACAATGATTTGACATCATTTCGACACATTCTTTAATAAAATAATATTACACGTAAATTCAAAACTTTTTTTTAATTTTTAACAACACATTTTCCATCAATACACTATTCAAAAATGCATTTTTTTGAAAATAACGTGGCTCAAACAATTTGAAGAAAAACTCTAAAAATATTCATATTTTTATTCAAAAAAAAATAATGTGTTTAATTTACTATCCAATCAAATGGAACGAATATGTCAAATGTATATTGATCATAATTAAATAATTGACAAAATGATTCATAATAATATTTTCAAGTGATTAAATAAATTAAATACATATTGAAAAACGAAAATGTAACGAATCTATCGAATGTACATCATCATATCTAAATTGACAAAATAATTAATGATAATATTAATCAAAATGTTCAAATGATTAATAAATTAAATACATATTGAAAAATAAAAAAATAGGGTATTATTGAAATAATTAAATATATATTGAAAAATGAAAAGTAATGCATTATTGAAATAATTAAATTATAGTAAGGATAGAAATTAAATATATATTAAAAAAACGAAAAGTTGAGTATTATTGAAATAATTAAATACATATTGAAAAATGAAAAGTAAAGCATTACTGAAATAATTGAATTATAATAATAACAGAATGGTCTAAAGAATGATTCTCATTTGATATGATATATAATATATTATTAATATCGATTAACACTAGCATTAATGTATTATGTAGTTAAAATAATTACATTTTGTTATATAACTATTACAATTTCGAGCACATTTTATCAATGTCTCAAGAGGAAATTAGTAGAAAAACGTAATTGTTTAAACAGATATGTGGTATAAAATTAAGGCCCCACTTGATAGCCTTTTTTCCCTTGTAAAAAATGAGTTTTCGAATAGTAATTTTTGAAAAATGTGTAGTTAAAAAGTAAGAAAATTTTTCGATTTACATGAATAATATTTTATTACAATAATATGTGATTGAAAATGGGGAAAATTGCAACAGCTGTTCCTAACATTTTCATTTTTTGCAGACTTTATCATAATCTTCATTTTTGTGCCAGCGAAAATTCCTAACATTTCATAAATATGCACTTGAGGTTCATCTAGACGGAAACCATCCAAAACATCGTCAGTTGACTGAGAAAAATAAGGAATCAACATTCAATAAAATCGTCCAAAACACCGTCCAAAAAGATATCGACATCCAATAAAAATCGTCGCGGTAACAGATAGTTCAAGAATTTTCTCGGTCAACTGACGGTATTTTGGATGGTTTCCGTCCAAATGGACCTCAGGTGCATATTTATGAAATGTTAGGAAATTCCCTAGCAAAAAAATGAAGGTTAGGGTAAAGTCTGCAAAAAAATGAAAAGATTAGGGACCGCTGTTACAATTTTTCCTTGAAAATGAGTTTGGGAAAAAAGGTTTTTAAAGAAAGATTACCTATCAAGGGCTAAATGTGTCAATATGATAAGACAGTAATGAAATTTTTGACGAATTATATGTTTAACCTATAAAATATTAAAAGGTGAGGTTAAAGTTGCAAAATCGGCTAATTATTATATCACCTATTTTAAGTGAATATCTCATAATATCCCACATAATCTTGAATATACACGTGATTAGAACGGTCGTCAAGTATATCAAGTCATAATTTTGAATGGTATCTTCTATACATATATTTTATGTGCATAACTCACTATAGCACATTACTTTAAGTCAATCTATGCTTAGAAATTCAATAACATGGAGAGAATTCATTATATGCTATCGCGCAATCTTCGTGAGTAAATTTGAGGTTTATTGCCAAGCTATTGAAGACTTGTCATTTAGACATTTATTAATTTATTCTTTCGCTTATAATTGATTGATTGTTTAGGTTTTGTTGTCTACACCGCTGGTTTCAAAAGATCGTTTAGATTTTGTAGTATACACCGTTGGTTTTAGAACACCATACATCATAACTCTCATTTTATAAATATATCTGCATAGTCTCTTAATATGGAACTTAAGTCAGCTTTAATCACGAGTCAAATCTAGTGTAGTGCTAAGTGGTTGATGGTAAGCCTCCTTTTCGTAGGGATTAATTCACAATTTTTCAACTATACATTTTATTAACTTTTATTAAAATCTATTAAAGATATGATTTTAATTTCCACCAAACCTAGGCTAAATAAAAATAGAATAACACAAAAAAAAAAATGAAAAAAGAAAGCAAGCTGACCTTTTCTCTTCTTCTTAGCTACTTCTCATATTTTGCAAGAGTACTTGAATTCGCACTTTACAACTTTTAAGCTCCTTATACAAATATTTTATATTGAAAGCAATACTCGACGTAATTCTTTAACTTATTTATTTATACCGTGCAGGATTCTGTTGAATGTTATGTTAGCGTTTTTAATGTTGAAAATTGTTTAGTTTTTAATGTTGATATCAGTTTATGTTTAAAGAAAAAGTGAATTCATTAGTTAAAAACAGAATCATTGGATGTAAGCTATGATATTAATTTTAAAATGGAATGATTTAACATAGTAATATTTCATTGTATTTGCAATGGAAATGAGAAAAAGGAAAGTAAGACGTGTACAACAAACTTTAAATTTCAAGAGTAGTAATTTATTGCTATTCGGTGGAATCTGAAGTCTTGTACATAGACAAAACAAAGATATAGACAGATCATGTTACTTGTTCCAGAAATACAAAATAGAACATTGATTACTGTCTACTGTCACAAAATAGTCGCAAAAGTATCATAGATGTTATTCATTCATGTTTTTCTTTTAAGGTGATCCCAATGGTTCAGTCATCAGTTTTGGAGCCTGTGTGAGTCCTTTTTTTTTGGAATTTGACTCTGCTTCAATAGGTACATCTGATGGTTGGAAGAGAGACCTTTTTGCATGCGGTGGATTGATTTCTTCAGTAGCGGTGGAAATGTCGTCGGGTCGTCAGGACACCTTGTTCTTACCTTTTACGTCTTTGTTGTTGGAATTTTTTTCCATTTCAATTTTCCTGTTTGCATCTTCTGTAACAATTGAGGAATCAACTTGATTTGCTGTGGAGGAGTTGAACACGAATATGATTTCAAAGCAGTACTCAGGTGGGTCGTGGCGCTTTTCGGTTGCCTTGATGTAAAAGAGTAGCTCTGTATCACTTTCCAATTTGACAACGTCATTGAGTTCTTTAATACCTTCCTATGGTCGATGAAATATATTTCAATAGAGTGACATGTTTGTTGTTAAGAAAGAAAGCATTTTCGAAGGATGTTGAATATGATGTTGTACCTTATGAAGATGGTTCATTAAGTCATTGACGCTACGTTCCAGTAACACTTCTGCTGCATCTCCTATGATGGTTGCATCTAACGAACGGGATTTGTCTTCAAGTTGTACAAAAGCATTTATCCTAAAAAATACGTTTTTTTTTTTTAGCCATGTATTATGTACCTTGTTCCTGAAATAATAATTAGTAAATTTTTGAACTTATATTTAATAGAAGAAATTACCTTGGGATAGATTTTGAGTGTTCGTACTTGCAAAATCGACATTTATGAATTTCTTCAAAGTTCGCGCTGGAAGTTTTCTTGTCGTTGTTACAAGACATATACCAAAATTCTTGGTCTTTTGAAGCTATTTTTCGGCGTGCATTCACCCAGTAGAATTTCTTATGTTAAAGGATATGTCTCATGTAATTAGATAAAAGAATACGACTGAGAAAAACTATAATATTTATTGTGAAATTAAAGATAATGTGTTTCTATTAATTATATTCAGTTTTATATTAGTATAGAAGTACCGTTAGATATACCACTAATAAATCATCAATCGATGTCAATTCATTATCAGTAGGAGGAGAAAGTTTGGGTGAGCTGACGGCAATAAAAGGTTTATTTTCCGTCAGTTTGTCAAGCGCTTCCTTGTTAGCTTCCACCCCACAAGAAATAACGATATATTTAGTTATAAAATTGAACCTTTATTTTTTTGTTTTTTTTGTATTAAAGGTACGTAAATAAGCAATATGTATATTAGGTATGTTGCATTATCATTCTTTG